CGTTACATTTGCCTACTCTCCCTCATGGTGGTTCTTTTCACATGTGGTCGGTTAGACAACAGAAGCCCAACTCACAGAATTTGGAGCGGGAAAGATTATGATCAATTGCATTATCAGTCAAGTCACTGTCTTTTTTGTATAAAGGCAACAGCTATTACCAGATAGCAAAAGACTCAGAAAATACACTGTCCGCATGTCATTATTTAAGATCACATAGCCAGCTAATTATAAGTCAAAAGCAATGACTCAAGGGTCTCTAGGTAAAGAGGGTCTATAAACACTGGTGTTTAGTTTTCCCTTCTACGTATCCATTCTGAGGACATAATCTCAAATGTAGGCAAAGAGCTATGTACACAGATATATAAAGCAATTAGCAATGAGAAGGAAAAAAGGAAATAACTCAGATGGCTTAAATTAGCAGAATATCCGTATGACAGAATGTTTACAAAGAGTATTGATTACACTGAGAACTGCTTACGATAAAATGTTAATTTTAAAACAGAGGTTCAAAAATATAAAGAAAAAAGACACAGAAAAAAGATAGAAGGTAATTATGCCAAAATGTTAACAGTGATTGTCTCTGGATGGTAAGATCATGGATTTGGGGAGAGTGTATATTTCTTTATGCTTTCTATACATTGTGAATGTCAATGATCCATATTAATTTTATAATCAGAAAAGAGTTAAAGGTATAAAATATTTAAAAAAATGAAAATTTCTAAGGGTAACAACAGTTAAGAACTTAAATATCTGGGGTAATACTAAATAAGCAAGATGAAATATCATGGTACGAACTCTGACATTATAGTCGATAATTTATACTCAACACAGTAGCCAGAGTATCCTTCAAAAATTGGGGGAGGGCTTCCCTAGTGGCGCAGTGGTTGAGAGTCCGCCTGCTGATGCAGGGGACACGGGTTCGAGCCCTGGTCTGGGAGGATCCCACATGCCATGGAGCAACTGGGCCCGTGAGCCACAACTACTGAGCCTGCATGTCTGGAGCCTGTGCTCCGCAACAAGAGAGGCCGCGATAGTGAGAGGCCCGTGCATCGCGATGAAGAGTGGCCCCGGCTCGCCACAACTAGAGAAAGCCCCCGCACGGAAACGAAGACCCAACACAGCAAAAATTAATTAATTAATTAATTTAAAAAAACAAACCAAAAAAAAAAAAACAAAAAAAAACATACCAGGGAATCCTAAAGACCTTCTAATTGATAATAAAAGAGAACTTTAAAAAAAAAAAATTGGGGGAGGATCCAGGTCATGCTCCTCCTCTACATCAGACCTTCGAGGGCTCCCCATTTCACTCAGAGTAAAAGCCAAAGTCCTTCCCAGGATCTACAAGGACCAAGGCCACGTCTCTGACCTCCTCTCCTGAACCTGACTTTGCTCCAGTCACACTGTTCTACTTGCTGTTCCTCAAACCTACTAAGGACACACCTGCCTCAGGGCCTTTACTCTTGCAGTGCCCTTTACTTGGAATGCTTTCTGTCCACACAGCCACACAGTGTGTTGCACACCTCAGCTCAAATGACATTTTATCAGTGAGCCCTTTCCTGACCCCTGTATAAAATAGCAGCTACCCCGATGTTCCCATCACCCCGTCCCCTTTACCAAGTACTTTTTCACCATCTGTGACATGGCAGAACTTACTTTATTGCGTTTGTGGTCTCCATCTCCCATGAGAAGAGTTCTTTTGCCTGGTGCATAGAAGATGCCCAATAAATAAGCATTGAATACCCGAACAAATAAATGCATGAGATTGTAAGCTCCTCAAGAGCAGAGGGGCTGAAGCTGACACCACTGCATCACTGAGGTGCACAAAACAGGCAGCAATGCCAACCTGATGGTCCCAGGGACATGTAACCAACATTCGACTCACTCCAGAAAAAAATACTTATAATTACAGCCAAAGATGACAGCAGAGAAGAGTCAAATGGAAAAAGAAGATAAGCGTGTTTGGGCACAGTAATATGAGAGTTTCCGTCAGAAAAGGCAAGATCTTCCATCAGGACCTGGTTTTTGCTGCACGACAGAACTCCACGTTTTTAATCACAGACTCAGAAGCAGCTCTATGTGGCACTTAAAATGACATTTCAAATGCTCTTTCTATTTAGCTATCTCTGTGTTGCGATTAGATATTTTTCTACGGAAAAAAAAAAAAAAAGGCATTAGGAAACCAATTTCCCTGGCACTCTCCCACCCCAAAAGCAGGCAGGAAAATGCAGCGCTTGGGTGTGGTATCCACAGGCACCCAGACAGACACACATACTTTCAGGGCCCATCCACACCTCCTAAACGTCCACAGTCTGCCTGGTCCTGCAGAGGGAATACAGCATCCTTGATCTTGCCCAGTTTTATCAGCCTCTAGAAATTCAAGGACAAACTGATAGCACAGTGCACAGCCTCATATTCTTTACTTTAGGAAAGATAAGAAAATCCATCCTAAGCTATTTCAGACTTTTCTGGGCATCGGAGAGCTCGGAGATTAGGATGGGCTGGTGGTGGACGCTGCCTGCGGTAGCTCAGGACTATTAATGAGCGTGAGGGTAACTCACGGTGGGGCTGGACGGGGGCAGCTGACCCCCACCCAAGCCCTCCACTAAATTATTACATTTGCTAAATTTTTTTGTTTTTTTGTTTTTTGTTTTTGCAGTACGCGGGCCTCTCACTGTTGCGGCCTCTCCCGTTGCGGAGCACAGGCTCCGGACGCGCAGGCTCAGCGGCCATGGCTCACGGGCCCAGCCGCTCCGCGGCATGCGGGATCCTCCCGGACCGGGGCACGAACCCGTGTCCCCTGCATCGGCAGGCGGACTCTCAACCACTGCGCCACCAGAGAAGCCCGACACTTGCTAACTTTGTCTTTCCTCTCACCGCCCTCCTTTTCCTTGACAATTCCTTCATCTCCGTCCTCCCCACAGCTCAGCCGCTCAGGAATCTCCTACAAGATAGTATTTTAGGGAATTTTCCTCTCTCGCGGATGCCTGCATCTTAAAAGGGACCCCTTGAAGCCCAGAAGGACCTCAAGTTCAGAGGGGGAAGTTCCAGCTGGGTAAGAGAGGCAGGCTTCTAATATTGATGGAGTGCCTATTCTAGGCTGGACACTTTGTCTACTGTAATGATGTTGCTGAATTTTCACAGTATCTCCATGAAATAGGTATTATCGTCTCCATTTCGGGATGAGACATCAGGGACCTCTGGGCAAGACAGGCTAGAATGTTAGTTCACGCTTGGAGGCCCTGCCTACTATCTTCCCTGTTCCAAAGACACGGCAGTGATCCATGAAAAGATTCCAGCAAGGAAGCTCAACTGTTCTCAGAAGTAAGATATATATCTCGATGGATCAGAAGCTCCAAATATTTACTATTTTGAGGGGCTGAAGGCACAGCCTGCTGACTCAGAACCCAGAAGCAGGTGGAGGGAGCTGGAAGATTGGTTTTCCAAGGGTACAGGGACTAAAAGTCTCCCATGGGAGGTGGGGGACCAGTCCCTGAAACGGGGGCTGGTGAAAGCACTTTCCATCTGAGGGAGGAGGCTGAAAAAAGCAGAGGTACCATTTCCCCAACCTCCTAAGACTAAAGCTTATCTGTGAATGTGAATAGTGATAGAAGCTGGAGGAAGCACACACGTAGCCAGGGCCTGGCCAGACTGCCTATGGCTTTGACGACTGGCTCCAGGAATAATCCCATGATCGCTGTGAACATGCAGCTCATCACTAACCCAAGACAGCTGGCCCTGCACCGGGGGACCCAGGACCTGCGTGGAGGCAACTTGAAATCACTCGGCAAGGAGAGCTGGGTGGAGGTGATGAGCAAGGAGAGAAAGAGAGACAGACGGACTCCCACTCAAGATGAGCAGACAAACCCCAATTCCAAAACACCCGAGGAAAGCTGTTGCTGAGAGAGACAACCAACAAAGAGTCTCAAAGATTTAGCGAGCTGGAAAGCAGTATCTCAGAAAGGTAAAGAAAAAAAATGAGAAAGCACAGTTGGGAGCTGTGGAGAATGGATGGAGAGGCTCAGAACTGTATCCCACAGGGTTTCCAGGAGGGGAGACTTGGAATGGCAGGGCAACAATATTCAAGGATATCATGGCTGAGGATTTTCCCTAACTAAAGACATTTTATGGATCCTCAGGTGAAAGGTGCATATTAATCACCAAACAGATAAGTAAAAAAAATAAATCCACATCTCGAAAACCTGGGGCATCTTCCCTCTACCTGACTCCTTCTGTTCCTGAGATCCCTGGCCCATGGCCTTCCCCAGGAGCTGCCTGACAAGGTCCTCCACTGTTTTAGCCCCATTCCTGATCCTGGCACAGTGAGGAAAGCCCTGGGTTTGGGGTTGGGGGACGTAGGTTCGAGCCCCACATCTGATACTGCCTCAGAGTCCTTGCTGAGCCTTGATTTCTTCCCTTCAAATGGGATCAGAAGTAGAATGATAGAAATTTAGAACCAGAAGGGACTTTGGGGGTGGCGTCATCACAGCAGACCACGGCTAGACCACGGTCAGACCCACTAACTAGCTCGGTGCCCACAAGATACTTAACCTCCTGCGTCTCCATTTCCCCATCATTAAAAGGGGACAATAACAGCACTGGCCTGTGGGGTTGCATAAGGATGAAATGAATTCATTCGTGTAGAGAACTTAGCACGGCGCCACACGCAGGGTAAACCTTCAACCCGGGGCAGCCATTTCTGTTATGATAATAATAGACGCCCATGAAATGCCACCTGCGAACTATACTCAATGCAAGGGGCTCCCCACTGAAACCACGGACCCCAGGTAGAGCAGAACCAGGGCCCATTGCCCCCTCTGCACTGGGGAACGGTCAAGCCAGCCGGCTGCCCTCCCCACCCTCGTCCCGGGCTGCCCCTGGTAGGCCCTCCTCGGCCTTCTGAGAAGCCCCTCTCCATGACCAACCATGAACTTCCCTGAATTAGTGCACGCCCCGACCCTGCCCAGGCCCACCCCCAGACCCCGCTGCCCCGGGTACCCTACCTCTCTCTGCTCACTGCAGATCTTACACAGCCACAGGGGCCGCTTCTGGCCGGGGGAGGCCTCGATCCCGCATTTGGTGCAGACTTTCTACAAGAGAGAGGATACGGGAACGTAAACACTCAGCTCCTTCCTCCTCAGCTGAGGGGCTGGGAAAACTATAACCAAGGAGCCCTCTGGCACCTTCTGAGGGGTTGGCTTTTGCTTCAGGCCCCGAGGGGAGATAACCCAAAGGATACAGATCATCTAAGACCCGTAGCTGGCTTTGGGGCACAATAGGTGTGCCGATCCAAGGATCTCCATGATAGAAATTCACCCTCAAAAGTACATCCTGTTGGGATCACGTCAAAAAAAATAAGCTTTCTGAGAGTCACAGCTGCATCATTTTCAACAGCAAGGAACTGGAAACAACTCAAACGCCCAATACCAGAGGCCGATCCAGGCAAACACAACTGAATATGATACGGCCTTAACACAGCAGACTGTGTCGGTCCCTGGAAATGTGGGCAGGGAATGATGTTTTTCAACAAAGAAAACGTAAAAAAAAAAAAAAAAAAAGACCATGGAATAGTGAAAGGAAGGGAAGACCAGGAACAACAACAAAAAAGAACATGGAGCAAAGAAAACAGACATTTGTATATAACCATGCAAAAAATTCACTTGTGTGCCTGACAAGGTAAGACAATGATATGGTGACAAATACCAGTGACCGCTTGGGAACTTCCTTCATGCCAAGGCCCTTCATTTAACGATCCCAGGATCCCTATTATATAAGAATTAGGCCCATTTTAGAGGCAGTAGTTTGAGAATTGCTCAAGTTCACGCAGCAAGTAACAGACTCAGGTCTGCCTCTAGAGCTGCTATATAACTGCCCCCGGACACGTAAGCAGCCAGAACCTGGTCCCTGCAGCGTTTCTCCTTCTACAGAGTTGCTGAAGGTCATATAACTTCTCGGTACATATTTTGCTTCCCCGATATGCACAGCCACAAGCCCTGGTGGGAAAAAGCCAGATGAAAAGCACCAGGAAGCAGAGGGGCACTTGGTGGGGCTGAGACCTCTTCTGGGCTAACCCAGGCAGAGTCTGATTCAGGGACAGCGTGTCCTCCTCAGAGAACAGTCACACCAGCTAATCAATCCATCTTTCCGCTGCTGCGTGGAAGCTGCCCGGTCCCTGCGGGGCTTGGGGCTCTCTCCTTCTCTCTCCTGTCGAGGGAAGGCTACATCTGCGGCTTGGCCTTTTCTGCAGGCTGCCAACTGAGCAAGGAGCACACCTCTCCACGGAGAGGGAAATGTCACCAACTTGGCTTTTCAGAGCATGCTGTCACCACCTGATTGGGCAGTGGGGCCACAGGAGGTGAGGAACCAGCTCGTGGCAGAAGGGAAGCTATGATACATTCGTGGGGGGTATGCATTCGCTTCCATCAGACCCGCAGGTACAAGAAATGTCACTTTTCTTTTATTTCTCCAAATAAATTGTAATCTGCTCCAAGCTCCTGTCCCTCTGGGTTGGCAGGAAAGTCCATCCCAGTCTCTTTGGGCCCTGCTCTCGCGAAGGTCCCAGGCTTGGGGTCTTTGGTGGCGCAGTACGTCTGGGAAGGGTCCCCTGGGTGCTGCCGGACTGCTCACTGCTGTGTTGCTCGCCATCTGAGCTCCCACGGTCCCTCGGAGGGGGAAGGGGCCTGGCCACTTCTGTATCAGGCCTGGGTTTGGGATCTGTGCCAGGCTGGGGTGCTGCCTCTCTGGGGGCCAGCAGCCTGTCCCCCTGGAGCCCCGAGCCACCAGTCTGGAGACTCTCCCTTCCCCACTAGAGCTGCCTGTTGCTACCCCTTCAATGCTCACCCCAACCCTTCTACCTCTAGGACAGGGGCCCCCACAAGCCCATAAGATGGGCCTCAAGAAACACACATGGGGGCTTCCCTGGTGGCGCAGTGGTTGAGAGTCCGCCTGCCGATGCAGGGGACGTGGGTTCGTGCCCCGGTCCGGGAAGATCCCACATGCCGCGGAGCGGCTGGGCCCGTGAGCCATGGCCGCTGAGCCTGCGTGTCCGGAGCCTGTGCTCCGCAGCGGGAGAGGCCACAGCAGTGAGAGGCCCGCGAACCGCAAAAAAACAAAAACAAAAACAAAAAAAACACACACAGGCCCCTCCTTCCTGGGGTGAAGAGAGGGAGGAGGTGCTGAAGCCGGCTGGCTGTTTTTCCTGCTCATTCCCACGATCTCATATAGATGGTACACGTGGGAAAATCAGTGGAGCCATCTCAGAGAGGGGAGATTTTCCTTTTGTGTTTTCTGCATGCTTGTACGGTTCAATGACAGGTCGTCCTCCAAGCGCGCAGTGTGCCCTAACCCCCTCCCAAGGTTGCTGAATCAGACGATGCTGCTGGGAATCGGGAGAGAAGACCAGTTCCTCCCATTATGGAACACCAGCCCCTGCCACCCTGGCAACAGAGTGTGAAGGAGGTGGGTGTCATAATGTCCATCATATGGGTGAAGGAAATGAGGCTCAGAGATGTTGAAGACTGCCCGCAGTCCCACAGTTAGGTAGCGACAGTCAGGATTTGGGAAGCTCCCCTCTTCTGGACCTTAGGAGAGCTGAGCACCCGCATGGAGCACAGCCCTGTGTTGGGAGGGTGGGGCCCGGTGAGGCACCCAATGCTCAGTCCCAGGTCGGCCTGCCTGCCAGGCCAAAAGGCATGTCTGGCTGCCTTGGAGGAGTGACATTTAAGCAGGGTTTGAAGGATGGGCGTGCACGTGCCCTCGATAAATAGCATCTGATTGATTGACTGATCATCTATGCTGTTGGGTGGCAGGAAAAGAAGCTAAGAGAGATTGCTTGAAAGCTGTGTCCTGTCTTCTACCCAGAGAACACAGCACACGGAACCACCTGACCTGGGGGCAGGAGCCGTGTGGACCAGTCGCCTTCCAGAGGCAGGGTCAAAGGCTGTTGGGTCAGCTCCCAGTCCTGGTGGGGGAGGGATGGATGGCATGTCCCGAATGTTCTCTCCTCCCCTTGTCCTGTGGGGCTCTGGAGGGAGTTGGGGGTGACATGACAGGGCATACCCTCCCTGATCCATGGGCAGCCCTGTTTTCAGGCTACCAGCCATCACTAGTGGAACCCCCGGTCAGTCCCGGCCATCTCTTGGTCCGTCTTTACAAGCTCCAGTGTCTCCAGCTGCGGAGTCCAGGCCAGCAAAAAGATAACACGCCCCAGTTCAAATAATACATAATTGCTGTTCTATTAAATCTCAACCAAGAAGAGAATAACAAGCCTTTTCCCCTTATGGGCTTGGTCTTTGTTCCAGGTTCCAATAAAGAAAATTAAGCAAGTGGTATTTTAAAAAGCCAGTAAGAGAGAGTGTGAGCCAGCCACAACATCAACTCAGTGTAAAGGGAACACTGCACAGTCGTGTTAAGGACAGCCGGGCCTGGGGGTGGCCACCAGCTTCCCTGCCAAGTGGGTTTCCATTGAGCGGAATTGCCCTGGGTGAGTGAGCGCTGGCTTCCCGGGCTTGGCTCTCTCCTGCTTCCTGCAGCCTCAAACTGTGCCTGAGCGTTAAACAAACCAAGTCTAGCTTCTGGGCCTGACTCAGACGCTCCATGCATTCCTATTGCAAATGTACATCCCATGCCAGAACATGCATGGGGAAAGGGGGTGGCTCAGGGTGTAGCCCACGGGACACAGGCTTTGGGGCAGGGGAGCGCAGCATCTGCCATTTAGATGCAAACTTGGACTTGTTACTAGCCTTCTCTGAGCTTCATTTTCTTGTCCTGAAGACGGTGGTAACGGGCAGGCTCATGTCACAGTTAGGAGGGTCAAGGGAGATGATTGATGAAAGTGCTCAGCACAGCACACGGTAAGGAGCAGGCAGCGACCACAGTCCTGCACAGCTGCCTCAGTGAAGGATGCCACGCGCGTCAGTCATATAAGCCCAAAACCGAGAATCACCCTCGGTCCCCAGGAGCTCTGAACCTCACCAGAACTGCCCGCTCCCCTCCAACACCCTCCCTGTCCATACTGCCACCCCCGGGCCTGCGCCACGGCCCCGCCCCACGTTGGCCAGCCTCCAGCTGGTTCCCAGCGTGGAAGCCAGCGTGATCTTTTCAAGATGCAAATCTAATCACGTCCTGTCTACCGTCCTTGCCAGCTTGAGAGCCTCCAGAGACTTCCTGTTGCCCTCTGGATGAAGACCACACCCTTTCACATGACGCATGATGCCCGCTCAGGGTAGACCTACGTCCTTGTGACCTCAGCTTGCACCCCTCTCCCCTACTCTACTGCCTCGTTCTCCATCTCAAGCCCCAGCCGTGTTGGCCTGACTTCAGTCCCTGGTCCTCAATCTGCTTTTCCTGCCCCTGGACCTTGGCATGCGCTGCTCTCTCTGTCTGGGATGTACTTGACCACACGCTCTCCTCATTAGCCTATGCATCCTTCAGACCTCAGCAAAAGCAAAAGCACTGCTTCTTCAAGGAAGCCTTCCCTGCCTTCTTAACCCGGTTGGGGCTCCCCTAACAGGCTCTTGCCTCTTCTCGTCCACTGAGACTTACCCTCATTTGTGTGGCTGTGTAACTACAGTCACTTTCCCTA